TACTGTAGTTGATTGGTTGTTTGGGTGTAGTTTAGTTGTACTGTAGTTGATTGGTTGTTTGGGTGTAGTTTAGTTGTACTGTAGTTGATTGATTGTTTGGGTGTAGTTTAGTTGTACTGTAGTTGATTGGTTGTTTGGGTGTAGTTTAGTTGTACTGTAGTTGATTGGTTGTTTGGGTGTAGTTTAGTTGTACTGTAGTTGATTGTTTGGGTGTAGTTTAGTTGTACTGTAGTTGATTGGTTGTTTGGGTGTAGTTTAGTTGTAATGTAGTTGATTGATTGTTTGGGTGTAGTTTAGTTTAGTTGTACTGTAGTTGATTGGTTGTTTGGGTGTAGTTTAGTTGTAATGTAGTTGATTGGTTGTTTGGGTGTAGTTTAGTTTAGTTGTACTGTAGTTGATTGGTTGTTTGGGTGTAGTTTAGTTGTACTGTAGTTGATTGATTGTTTGGGTGTAGTTTAGTTGTACTGTAGTTGATTGGCTGTTTGGGTGTCGTTTAGTTGTACTGTAGTTGATTGGCTGTTTGGGTGTAGTTTAGTTTAGTTGTGCTGTAGTTGATTGGCTGTTTGGGTGTAGTTTAGTTTAGTTGTACTGTAGTTGATTGGCTGTTTGGGTGTCGTTTAGTTGTACTGTAGTTGATTGGCTGTTTGGGTGTAGTTTAGTTGTACTGCAGTTGATTGGCTGTTTGGGTGTAGTTTAGTTTAGTTGTACTGTAGTTGATTGGCTGTTTGGGTGTAGTTTAGTTTAGTTGTACTGCAGTTGATTGGCTGTTTGGGTGTAGTTTAGTTAGTTGATTGTCTATGGTGTAGCTTAGTTGATTGGTTGTTTGGGTGTAGCTTAGTTTAGTTGTAGTTAATTAGCTGTTTGGGTGTAGCTTAAGTCAGTTGATTGGGTGTAGCTTAGTTGTAGTTGATTGGCTGTTCCTCAATTGTTTGGGTGTAGCTTAGTTGTAGTTGATTGGGTGTAGTTTTTTTACCATAAGATTAAACACCACAGCTTATATTTCTGAAGATTAGATACCCTAGTTTATTTTACTTGAAGATTAAGCACACCAGGTTATTTTACATGAGCATTAAGCACCCCAGCTTATTTTCCCTGAAGATTAGACACCCCAGTTTGTTTTAGCTGAAGATTAAACATCACAGCTTAATTCTCCTAAAGATTAGGCAGCCCAGCCTATATCACCCCAAGATTTGGTAATCAATCATATTTCACTTGAAGCTTAACTTCCCTAATGATACATAGGAGGCCTTTGTGTTGGGTTCATTTTAGCTCACTTTGTCGGGTCTATCGCATAGTTTCAATGAGAAAATTTAAAAAGGGTAGGAAAACAGGGTTAAAAATTAAAACTGAACAAATTATTTTACAAGTTAATTTTAATTGCCCATTGGTATGGTTGTAAACACCTGTGCTAGCTCAATAATTTTATATGGAATTATTTAAGGTTCTGAGTACATCTTTCTTGTCGGGTCCAAACACCTGGACCCCCGAGATACTACTGTACTTATCCCATGTGCCTGTGCTGGGAGGGATTAGGTTAGGCTAGCATCTGGGTGCTTAATCTTCCGATGAAATAAGCTGGGAGGCCCGATCTTCAAGTGATCTGAATAATTTTTTACTACTAGGGAGCTTTAGTGTAACTATAACTCCTTCACTATGGAGATGCCACTTTTAGTATTTTTTGGGATAACACCAGATGATTTTATTCAGCAGAGAATTGGCCTTGTACACAAGGGGTTAATTGTAACTACCAACATACTGTAATTGATAGGTCATGCAAGAATACTTTTTGATCATATACCCTGTACTGAAGTCTCTGCTACTCTTACTGAACTTTACAAATATTTTTCATTTCTTGGCCTCCATCCATGCTGAACATTTGCTAAATATTGTTAAATTTACAAAGCTTTTCAGGATCTCTACTGTGCCCTGGGTTCACTCAGCCTAAGTCAGATGTGAGAAGGGTCTTATCCAGTGTGACCATACCTATCTTGGCAGGTTTTCACCAGGTACTACAGTTTTCTCCTGTACTAACAGGTTTTCACCAGGTACTACAGTTTTCTCCTGTACTAACACTGGACCATGATGGATGGCCCTCACTACCACACATGGTAAGTTTTCTTACCATGTACTAACTGGACAATAAAGGTTATAACAAAGTAGCAAAGAACAAACCAAGTAACCAAATAACTATTATGCTGGTAAGTGGTGGAAATGACAAATAAATAAATAACACAATAGTACAGTACTGTACAGTATTTACCTAATGGCCACCCATTAGAAGTGGCCATGCCGAGGGAAGGAAGCCAGTGGCCTGTGTAGGATCTCTCCATTGTTCTTGATAATTTTGTTATTCTCTATGATAATTTGGTAAGCTTGTAGTTATATCCTCTCATGTTGGTTGTGTGTGACATCACAGAGAAAAATGCCCTGGGTTCACATTTTCCATTCCTTAAAGGATTTTGAATGTTTCAATGAGATCTGCTCAATTGTGTCTTGTCTGAAGAGTTGTTAGTCCTAAGGTCCTCAGTCCAGTTGGAAAATCGAGATGACATAGTTCCAGAATCATCTTAGTCGCTCTGTATACAGTAATCCAGACTGGAACGTACTTGAGATTTATACAGCTGAAGGAGCATTTTTATATCTTTGTATACAAAGGTATGCTTTATAATTCCCAAATCTTGATTTGCGTTCCTCACTGCTACTCCCACTTATTGCACCGCCTTCAGTGAATGATCTGTTACTATGCCAAGATCTTTATACATAACCAACAGTATCCAGGAAAGTGTTATTAACAGAATAATTGTGCTTAGGGTTGTTGTATCCTATGTGTAAGGTTTTGCATTTCATAATGTTACAGAGCATTTGCCAGTCTTGAGACAATTTGAACAGCTCATTCGGGTCTTCCTGCACTGTTACAACATTAGCCTGATTAGCTACCTTCCCAATTATCTTCATATTTTCTGCAAACTTGACAATGTGGCCTAATATATTTTCAATTGTTATTTATGTAGATCACAAATGGGGTGTGTCCAAGGATAGAGCCTTGTGACACTCCACTGAGAACCTTTTTACATTCAGAATGTACTCCATTTATTACCACTTTTTTTTTTGCCTGTCTTCGAGCCAGTTGTAAATTTACGTCAAAATCTTGCTTGTGATACCATGTACCTGGATCTCAGAGGCTAGTCGTGCATATAAGACTGTTAAACACCTTGGAGAAATCCATGTACAACACATCTACTGGTGAGCCTTTGTCAACATATTCTGTAACTGTTTCAAGGAACGCAAGTAAGTTTGTCAGACGGGATTTTCATTCCATGAAACTGTGTTGTGATGCGTTGATAAGACTGCGTTCAGTCAGGTGTCCCTCAGAATTATCAAAAAGCCTGCATATACCCTGTTTATGATGTTAGCCTGATTGGCCTGTAATTTTCCACTGCATTTTTCCAACCCTTCTTGTACTATACTGTACTGGGGTGATGTTGGCTAATTTCCAGCTTTACTGTGATACAAGGATTTCCTGAATAAGAGTTTTAGTGGGGTCCAAATCTCATTTACCACCTCCTTTATCACCTTGGTCTGTACTCTGTCCACTCCAGGGGCCTTGAATTCTTTCAAGCTGGCTACTTTTCTTTTGATGATATCATCTGTAATTGCTATCTCTCTTTATTTATTGTCTCTTGTATGAATACAGATGCAAAGTAGAGTACAGTATATTCGTTTGACTGTCATCCTCCAGGGCCATGTTGTTTTCATCCTTTAGAGGGCCTACAGTATTCTAGGTTTTCATTTTACTCCTGGCATATGCCTAATAGGACTTGGGATCTTTCTTATTGTTTTGGGACTAATTCCACCTAGAAATGATGTTTATCTGATCTAATTTCCTGAATGGCCACATTTAGGGCTCTTTGTATACAACAGGGTTTCTCACATTATGCCTTGTGCTTTGGTACTTCCACATGTTTTTTTGTTCTTACATCAGGTCTTATTCCCTATTCCCTTTGTTTACCAGGGTATACATTCCTATACTGTTAACTCAAGGATTTCCATAGTTTTCCATTGATTTGTCTATGTCTGCCTCCTCCTCTAATGATTTCCTAGTTAATTCTTTGTAGTTTGTCTCACATGAACTGGTAATCTCCATGGTTGAAGTCATAGTATTCCTCCTCAAATATCAAAAATTGTATTCCATCTTAGTAGTTGCTGGTTGGACTCAAGACTACGTCTAGAATGTTGTCTCCCCTCGTGGCTTCTGACACGTGTTGCGTAAGGAATGAGCTCAAGGAAATCTTCTCCGAAGTTTTGTCTCCCATGATGAGGGCTTGTGCTCTGGATGCTGTTTGGATGACTATGGAGATGTGCTACTTCCCTGAAGCCGAGCCGGTTCTATAGCTTACACTTACTGTCAGCTTGCGTTTGTTTTGAGTTATCAAAGCAAATAGATTCGGATGGTCCCATTTAATTTAGCTCATCATTAGTGGTTGGTGCTCATTTACATAAAATAGTACACCACCACCTCTTGCAACACTTGATTGGCCTGGTTTCTAGGACTGCCCTTTTAAAAGACTGTGATTCTCTAGAATTTGTTGTCGGGGTTAGTAGTAGGTACTGTATTAATTAATGCTACAGATAGCACTATATTAATGTTATTTACAGTTGGTTCACCACTTGCCTCCTTACTGTAGTTGTAAAGAAAGGGGAATATAACATTGGAACTGTAGAAGCTTCTGTCCAGATAACATTATTCTAAAATTTGAAGAGAATTAGTCAAAGGAAAAGCTATTCACAGAAACCTTAAGTTACAAGAACTTTAATTGTTCTGGAGATTATCAGAATGGGGGTTGAAAAACACATATACAGTACTGTACTGTACCAGGATGTTCACATTTTAAAAAGAACTGAACAAGGGATTAAGCCTTTTTTATAATGCATGTTTTAGTAAAATAGCTGAACTAACAAGCTGGTATTTACTTGATATTAATATACTAAAGAAAAAACCATTCTTCTTTGATAACATTTTATTTTGAAGTCAAATTACACTGTGGGAGTCACCAGCATTTGGACACATTAGTGATCTACTTAAGAAAGATTGTACTCTATAAATCATATATAATATTTGACATTAAATATACAGCCATTAGAGGCATTCACTCATAAGTTCAATGTCCTCATTCTGTCACACAGCACAAAAACAAAAAGTTTAATGTACACACAAAAAAAGACACACAGCTATGTACATGAGCAAACACTCATGCTCTTGATTTAAGCAATACAAATTATTTATCAGTACCTCATTAATAAGAAACTCGATATTAACAGGGGCTCAAATTATAATTCTCATAATAAACAATATTAAACACAGCGATACAGTACTTGGGTTAGAGCCTTTGAGAACTGCACGTGTCTTATTTCAAAATATTGACAAAATAATGGACTAGAGCATCCATGAAAAGGTACATTACAAAATGTATACCTACAAAAATAATCTAACCATGAGAAGACAGCAAATGACCTTCAAGACTGTTATAGTACTAGTAGTGTGTGCTTAAGATTGTATTGTAATTGCATTAAATAACTTGAGGGATAATAATGATGCAATTTTAAGTGCACCAAAAATGCGAGTTCCGTGAATTGTGGGATACACGCGTTTTTTTCTTAATATTGAACAGAGGAAAATAAGGTAAAGGAGAAGAGCCCCTCTCTCTGAATAACTGTTACTCCTGGCACCTTTTTGATAAACCATAAGGAATCCTTGAAGATGAAAGACTGGGGGTTACACTTAAATGTTTGTACTATACCTGTTTCCAAATTCTTGTAACTTGAGTTCCATTCTGAGTTGCAAGGCAGGTTTCTTAGTTTTATGAAAATATCCAAATTACTGTACATGTATCACTAGTTAAGCTGCAAAATATGCAATCCCAGTGTTACCATTTTATAATCTGTTAAGGAAATAGAAATGTGTTGGCATAATAAAACGGGTGCTTGTGTGTAGTACATGATGAAGCAACCTGAAATCACTCGGCATCTAACTGGGGCAGAAGATGGTGGTGCAAATGCATGCACACTATACCTTTTATCTTCACTTAAAAACGGTTATTTGAAGTCGAGAAACATGCACCGTTCTTCTTCTTCTGTACACTGCTGCATCATGTCATATTTGAGGTAACTTTTACATTTCCTACACTAAACTTCATTATCAAATGTTCAAAAATCTTGTTTCCCACATGGATCCACACACTACTTATGCCATGAGACAATTGCATTCTCTCTATTTCACCTATCAATAAATTTTCATTAAACATCACAGTGCTGACACCACCCAAGGAAGTGGAAGGTTTGACTCAGGCTTGGAAACTATGTTGGTCATCCTACCTTACCTATCTATCTTGAATGGTGTCCAAATTCTGTTGTTATTCTTTTACTGCCGTGACACGTTCTGCTGTGGTGTTCACCTTAATGTGTTCTATTATGGTCTTCACATCACAACCATCCCCAACTCAATAATACTCAAGAAAAAACATAAATTACAATTGTTTCTTCAAAATAATTTAATAATGCTGTATTAACAACTTAATTTACATATGCCATCATATAAATCCCCTGCAGTGAACACTTAAAGAGTTGGGCATTCAGTACAGTACATACATGATATTAAATAAAAACCAATTTACAATTATCCCTACCAAATGTCCATAAACTATTTGGCCATTTGTATTAACAAATAACCTCAAAATTATAATGTAGATAGAACACGTTGGTTTTATCACACTAAACGAACTGGGGAGGGGAAGGCACGTTCTATCTAGGATAATTTTGATGTTTTAAGTTACAATGGGCGAGTTAATTTATGGAAACCCTGTATAAATGACAGCCAGGTGGGGTATCAGTTAGGCATAGCTAACAAGCTCTACTTTATGTAAATAAGACCATTTTAAAATATCCCTCAAGACACAATTTTAATAAAAACCACTAATTTTTCCACTTCCTTGAGTGGTCACCAATAGAGAAATATTTTACGGTATTATAGGCCTTGGCAATAGAGAAATATTACAATACTGTATACACTTCGGTAATAAAGAAATATTTAATTTAGACCTCAGTAACCTTCCACTTCCATTAGTGTTGTCAGCCATAGAGAAATATGCAATAATAAATATAAATATTAAATTATGATGTTGAAACAGATGACAAGTGCAACCCAACAACAGCCATTCTTTACCTACCTTGTTGATCAATAAATTGCACTACACATTCACCGAGGAAGGTACTTGATTCTTGCTCCTTAGAATTGGTTGAAAAACCACGAAGTACGACCCACGGAAGAGTTCATTTTCATGTCGCATTCCAGGGGGTCAAACTCTTGCACCGAGCCAATACACACGACTTACGATCCAACGACGGACTCACTTTCTCGTCACAATGCCAGCCATTGTCACCCAACGTCCGCACAACTTCTTCACAAACTTAACTTCATCTCTTACTAGGACTCCTTCACCAATAACCTATCCGTGCCTCTTTCATCCTGGCACTCGATCGGTAACAAGTTCTACAAGTTAGTTGGGGTTAATGTCACCATCCCTTTAACATATCCACATTTAAAGGCCAAGCACAACTCTTCAGTACAGTAGAAGTCATCATCTACTATGACTTGTATATATTTATATTTATATATATATTTATCTATTTAGTATATAGTTTTACATTATTACATACATTATTTACAAGATTAATACCTACAACTGCTAAAATCGGGAGTTGTAGCCTTCACAACTACCTCAGCCTATCCCCATGTCTTTTTTAATATAGTCTTTATTAGAGCCAACTTGAGGTCCATGTTCACCTAACATTTTGTTCACAATTACATTGAAGTATTGCAGTATAAATCACTTCTAGTAAATTGTAATTGACCGGTTTTAACAAATCTCAACCCATTTTAAGTGTCTTAACAACCATAAGTTAATGTCTTACAAGTTGACCGAAGGCTGAGAATTACGTTATATTAAGCCTTTGAATGTGAAGACCTATTTTATTCCCTTGAGTGAGATGATGTCGTACTCTGGGCGTTGTCATAAAACTCAAGGGGGAGGTTGTTGCATTCAAGGGGTTGTGATCATACTCGAGGGGTTGAGTCATTGTATTCTAGAGATTGTCATCATATCCATGGGGATTAAGTAATTATACTCAATGGATCAAGTCATCATACTCAAAGGATCAAGGGATCAAGTCATCATATTCAAGGGTTGTCATCATACTCAAGGGGTTAAGTCATCTTGCTCAAGGAGTTGTCATCATAGTCAAGGACTTAGCCATTGTACTCAAAGGGTTAAAATAGGACAAATCTGGCAGTGAATTTACCATTGTAGCAGAGACTCACTTGACAACCTGCAACAGTAAACTATACACTAATAATTGTAATAGAGCAATAGACAGACAGATGGATGGTTGTTACAAACACTATAAATTGGGTAGAAGTTAGTTCACTACTCAACAGCATTAATTTGCTTCATTTTTTGAGTAAGTTGTGCATTATGTCTTAACTGTATTGTTGCTGTGATAACCTTCAGTATATTGTGGCGATATAGTACAGTACTATAGACTTCGTATGAACCATTATGTAGACTGTACAAATGTAAAAATCATAACTTTGGTCTGTTAAGCAAATCAATAACTTTCATGTACCTTAAGGAACTACTGTAATGAGTGTCAACCTCACACAATGGTTGTTTATGGTGACTGGACTTTCCTCAAGTGTACACAAAATAATACAGAAGTCTTTGAAGAAAAACTGTGATAAGAAATGAATGGCAGTTGTATGTACTGTACAGTATGTGAGTGTAATACTTCCCATCTTATTAATTTTATCATCACATTTAGTTACAATTTTAGTTTCCTTGGGCCATGCCATAGGAAGTCAAGTGGTGTACACAGCTCAGGTCATGTCAACATTAGTAGTGTACACATCTCAGGTCATGTCAACACTAGTAGTGTACACATCTCCAGTCATGTCAACACTAGCAGTGTACACATCTCATGTCATGTTAACACTAGTAGTATACACATCTCTGGTCATGCCAACACTCTGAGCTGCTGTGCACATCCTAGATAATGTTACAACCATTTTTTAAAATAACTTGCAGCCATCGATGGCAAGATGTCCTCTTGCTGGAGTAAATGTTCTCATCCACCATCAACTAATGGGTCAAGTTCACCATCTGATCTTTTTCATTAATCACAAATTTACTCAACTCTCTTTTAGGATAAATTCCTTTCCTGCTAAAATAAATGGGGAGAGGAGAGAGAATTTATGTATACTGTACTGATGCCCTACTGGCTTGACTCACTCGCTCACCGAGGTTAATTTTCTGCAACTAGTACGGTATAAATCGTGGGGATGAGAAAAGTTGTCAAAACTCATGTTTTAACTTATGATATCACAATCATCCACTACACAACACCAGTTAATTTTCTTGAGATAATTTCAAAAACATCTTCAGTTTCTTGTGAGACTTGACAGATAAGATGGGTTTATTTATACCACCAATATTTCATGCTCTCAACATCTACTCTATTGATCACATTTTCACCCTCAATCAAGATGAATATCATCGACAGATTGTCAACAGCCGGCAACTCACGTGAACCTTCACGGCAGCATCAACACAAGTTAGCTATACCATACAGTAGGTGTGGGTCATGTCTAAACATCTACAGTTCTTTTATTCTATCAATCATCTAACAATGTTAACTACTGCAATTTGACTCCTGCCAATATTTTTTTTCCATTTCTAACAACCAATAGGAAAAAGAAACATGACTATAAATGGAAAATAAACCAAATTATAAATTTTAACTTTTAACCAACATATAATTATTTAATGAAACAATTATCGCAATTTCATCAAATCGATCCAATGGCAGTTGTCTAATATTTTCTGACACATACACCCTGGCCTAACTTCATCCTCTCAAATCTGTCCTGACATATCTGAAGGCTTTTTTGACAACACACCCTTCTCAAATTCTCTGGCAGCAGACCCTGCGGACACACCCTTCAGACAACTTCCAACACACCACCCTCATAACTGCCAACATACCCTCCTCACTGTCTTCCATCATTAAGAATCATAAGATGCACTAACACAATATAACACTGTATTAAGGAGTAACCCATCAACCAGACGTATAGTCAAGTTTGTATCCTTCTCAACTTGGGGTTGGAGGACACAATGAGCGCCTGCTATGTCTGTGTCCCCATTTGGTGTTGGAGGCCACTGAATAAGGTTAAGTGGGGACTGGGTACCTCACACCACAAAAAAATAACATCTTAAATAGTTACTGTATGTCTATTGTGGGCCAGTGTACCTGGGACCGCCTCAAACAGGTCTCGTCATTCTTGATGAACACTTGATAGACACGAAAGGAGAAAATGACAACAGTTGAATACTTAGGACTCCTTTGACTGTAATTAATAGTTTATTAAATCATGATTTAACCAAAATATCCATTTACAATATTATATAAAATTAGATCTTTTACAGAAGGTCCAACTTAAATCTCTTTCGTTCCTTGACCCTGCGGCCAACAGTGTCATCGCTGATATCACAATTATCACTGTCTTCGTCACTGTAACGACGCTTCATCGTGCCAATTTCAGCATCGTCATCCGCGTATAGTGAGCGCAACGTTGACAAGTCCTCGGCACACTCTTGGCCTTCATCCCACCGACGTTCAGAGTCCTGAGAGGTGGCACACGCATGGAAGGCAGAGTAAGGTTGAGAGGCAATGAGAGGCTGAGGCTGTGCAAGGGTTGGAGAGGCAGCAGCAGAAGTGCGGGCACAGTGAGGGGAGGTCAACACACAAGGAACACTCACTGCCTGAGAGGTATTTCGTGGAGGCTGAGATCCTTGTGTAGGTTGTGAGACAGACAAGGGGCGACTGATGCTTGATGAGTGAGAGGTAGCCAGGGTGGAGACGGTCCCACACAGGGACTCTTTTATACTCTGAGAGGCAACTGTGGCTTGGGAGGAAGAGAAGCTTGGAAGAGGAGACTGGGCATGTGAGGCGGCAGTTTGTGACTTGTGATGATCCACCGGTGGAGGTCTGGCAACATGGTTGGGAAGGTTGAGGTCAAACACACGCTCCAGATTCCTCACAGAGCCCCCGACCGCGTGCCACCTGTCACGGCCCTCTTCACGTGCGAGGACGACACCAGGGGGACTGCCCTTCTCCACACTATCTGGGACCGGAGCAGCAGCAAGGGGAACATAAACAACCGCCTCGTCTCCACCCTGCATCAAGACGCCAGCTTGCAGCTGCTGGCCCGACCCCTCTCCCACTGACTGACCACAGCTGTAGCACAAGAGTGGGTGGGCTGGGGACTTGGACCGCCAGTACTGAAGCTCAGTCTTGCATTTGTTCAGCTCCTAACAATAAAATTTCCATTTAACATTGACAGAAAAAATAATGTTTATTATATAAACATCAAAATACAGGTACTGTATAAAATCTGTTTTAGCAAGAAAGAACTGGTGATGTTTATAGTTCCATTACTAACAGCAAAAACAGTGAACTGTGTACAGTAAGCCCTCGATAACTCGGCACGGATATGGTCTCGGCAATGTAGATATATAAAATTATCTGTGAAAATCTCGGCATATCAGGCCACCTGCATCACCTACCATACCTGTGTCACCTACCATGCATCTGTGTCACCCACTATAATGCTTCATTCTTTACCTGCAGTGCTGATAAGTGTTACTTTTTTACATTTAGTGATTACCTGTACACATATATGGGTCGATAGTTTTTTAGTGTTGTATTTTGTAGGGGAGTGCCGCAATAAGTCAGAATTTGGGAAAACTTGGCAAGGACAGAGCCCCGTAAGTGCCGAGTTATCTTAGGTTTACTGTATCTTCATATAAACTAACCAACACCAGACAACTAAAGCTGAACAACTCAATGTATGAATTATCTGATTAATATTCTGAAAGGAATATATTAATGACTGTGTTCAAGTATCTGGGCTGGCCATTTTCAACCTCTTATACTTGGTGTTTGATTAAGACAAAGCAGTGAATAGAAACCAACATCCTTCATGACATGTCCATCTACAGTACATGTGGCCACGATCCTGAGGAGGATAGCTGCCATCTTGGTGTACACAATACCACTACAGTTAGTGGGGGTTAGGTTCCACAGACCTCTGCGAATAGTATTGTATATTTGAGATATTCGAGTTGCCCATAAACACAACCGTATATTGTATTTCAGTATGCTTTTCTTTATATACACATACAATGGTGAAAAACATTAATAAGACGAGTCAACAAACTAAAAACAGCGAATGGCAAGGGTCTACTGTATTGACTATATCTGGCCATGAGAGAAACACCATTTACTATCTGGCCATAGGTGTTATTTATCTGAATTAGGCCATTATATTGGGCATGTAACCAAACTTTACATAAAATATCCAACAGTAAAAAATTTTGAAATATGAAAATTAAGTTAGATGTCGAGTTAGATCAACATTCAACGAGGTACTATACCATATCCACAAATGTCTAACCTGAAGTACGGTGCTGAATTTACGTGACGATTCCTCAAATTTCTTATCGTACTCATCCATTCTCGTTGCATATTCCATCATCTGTTTGTGTTGGTCGGTCAGCTTGCCTTTACAACCTTTCAGTTCGCGCTTTAGGGCGACTAACTGTGTGTTATACCTGAAATGAAAAGCTATGATTACTTAACATGTCAGACACCGTAAACTCCATCTGTATTCTGTACCGTATAAGTAAATTTGAAACTACGTAGGTGGGGATTGGCCAATGAATTTTCAAACAAAATATGTTACTGAATATGGAGAAAATCAAACTGCACCTCTCTCTCTCTCTCTCACTTCCCGTATTCTCAAATCTAGTGACCTTGATCTGGGCGAGGTGACAAGCCACCAAACAACATTCTTACGCACCTCCTCATGCCCTGACGGATGCGCCTGATCCTCTTGCGTAACACCATGTTAGAAGGAGGGAGGGGGTCACGCTCAGGCAGTTCATCCTCGGGTTCCGATACTCGACCACTGCCGCCAGGAGACCGTACGCTGCACCCTTCTGCTGAGTCGAGACCAGTATGTTGTAATATGAACATTAATATAAAATACCTCACTGGTCAGCCACATGTTGAATCATACCAAACAAATCTAGTCCCAACTTAGTTTTAATGACCAACATCCATGTGGTAGGCCAGATGTTCAGCATTCCTGTTCATGTGGAAAGCCGGGTGTTCAGCGTTCATGTGGAAGGCTGGGTGTTCATGTGGAAGGCCGGGTGTTCGTGTGGAAGGCCGGGTGTTCGTGTGGAAGGCCGGGTGTTCGTGTGGAAGGCCGAGTGTTCGTGTGGAAGGCCGAGTGTTCGTGTGGAAGGCCAGGTGTTCAGTGTTTGTGGAAGGCATGGTGTTCAGTGTTCATGTGGAAGGCCAGGTGTTCAGCATTCATGTGGAAGGCCAGGTGTTCAGCATTCATGTGGAAGGCCAGGTGTTCAGCATTCATGTGGAAGGCCAGGTGTTCAGCATTCATGTGGAAGGCCAGGTGTTCAGCATTCATGTGGAAGGCCAGGTGTTCAGCATTCATGTGGAAGGCCAGGTGTTCAGCATTCATGTGGAAGTCCAGGTGTTCATGTGGAAGGCCAAGTATTCATGTGGAAGGCCAAGTATTCATGTGGAAGGCTTGGTGTTCCATGTTCATGTGGAATTTAAGTGTGACATAATTCCTCTGTACCATAATTAAGGTTAAGAATACCCTCCACAATTAGTTTCCCCCGTTCTTGGTAAGCTATTCCCATCAGACCATATTGCACACTGACCCAGAAACACATGCCATCACTTGCTACCCCTCCCCTCCCCTCCCCTCCCTCTCGCTGGTGCAACAGAAGCATTCCTCCCCACCACTGCCCACAAAACTCTACAGTACTATTAATTCGCTAAATACCCGAGAATCTTGTCGTTATGTCCAAGAAATCAGATCCAAAGCATGTGATTTCTGGTAGGCGAGGTTCAATGTGCTCCTTGAAGTACTCCATGGCCATAGTGGAGAGGTCAAACAACTCGTCAGTCACTTTGTAGGCCCGGCCGAGGTTGGGCGTCTTCTTGATGTACGACAGGATGCGGTAGACCTCGTCCAATATCTGCCGAGAGGGAAAATTGCCAGAATGAAAATGAGATACTCGTCGAAAATTATGTCTCAACGTAAACCATCTATATACTGTAACTATCTTCAGTGTGGGGTGGATCAGGGGGTACAGATAGAAACAGCTGGATCAAGGGGTACAGATAGAAACAGCTGGATCAGGGGGTACAGATAGAAACAGCTGGATCAGGGGGTACAGATAGAAACGGATGGAACGGGGTAGATAGAAACAGCTGGATCAGGGGGTACAGATAGAAACAGCTGGATCAGGGGGTACAGATAGAAACAGCTGGATCAGGGGGTACAGATAGAAACGGTTGGATCAGAGGGTACAGATAGAAGATGGATCAGGGGGTACAGATAGAAACAGAGAACAGAGGGTACAGATAGAAACAGCTGGATCAGGGTACAGATAGAAACAGCTGGATCAGTACAGATAGGGATGGAACGGGGTAGATAGAAACAGCTGGATCAGGGGGTACAGATAGAAACAGCTGGATCAGGGGGTACAGATAGAAACGGTTGGATCAGGGGGTACAGATAGAAACAGCTGGATCAGAGGGTACAGATAGAAACAGCTGGATCAGAGGGTACAGATAGAAACAGCTGGATCAGGGGGTACAGATAGAAACAGCTGGATCAGAGGGTACAGATAGAAACAGCTGGATCAGGGGGTACAGATAGAAACGGTTGGTTCAGGGGGTACAGATAGAAACAGCTGGATCAGGGGGTACAGAGACCTAATCGGGCAAAATGGGAAGTACTTAAACAACGATTACAAATATCTTCACATATATGCTTAAAACCTAGTCACATACACAGTACACAATACAGTATAAAACACACATCATGGATACACAGTACATCACAGTTTAAACAGGATGCACAGTACACTACAGCATACACATCACAACACAGCATACAACACACATCACAGATACTCATTATATCACAATATACAACAGGATAAACAAATACACGAGGAACTGACACTCATTCATTCATACACACAGGTATACAGCATATTACAGTACAACTTTACATATAGGAAACACTCAATCATCTCATACACAAATATAAGCTAAGAAACAGACTCACATCTCCAGCAAAGAAGCAACAATGTTTACGCTCGATGTGCTTTCCAAAGGACATCTGGAGAAGTGTGAGGCGCATGTGCAAGGTCTCGATGATGTCAGACTCCCGTGCTAGAGGATGTTTGCGACGGGCAGACTCCCGGCGAGGCATCTGCCCCTTAATAGACTGGAACCTTTGAAGCATCTGATTTTGCAGGCGCTGGAACGATGTGTTGAGAATGGCCGAGCCTATCTGTTCAATCCTCTTACAGGTCTGTGTGAGGATGACAAACACATTATTGTATACCTGCTGACACATCAGTTAGGTTTGGTTAAAGTTAGGATAGGTTTCATGATGTTAGGTTAACTGAGGTTTGGATAGTGTAGGTTAGGTAAGGTAAGAACCATAAAGAACCATAATGAAAAAAAATATATGTATGTTGTGTTGTCAATGGTAAGAGAAACAATTGAGGCCCTGCAATTGTGTGTAAAAGACAGAAAGTCAGATCAGCAACCTGGGACTTGGTCACAATTTTTGTGATGCCATATGGCAGCAGGGTCTACCATTAGACAATACATTATGCTTCCAATATCTTCCCAGGCAGTAGTACCTCCCTGTTTGGTAGCTGCTTACTACCAGGTTAGGTTAGATTAGGTTAGGTCAGGACAGGTTAACTGAGGTTTGGATAGGGTAAGTTAGGTTAGGTAAGGGTAGGTAAGGTGAGGGTAGGGTAGGTAAGGGTAGGGTAGGTAAGGTAAGGGTAGGGTAGGTAAGGTAAGGGTAGGGGAGGTAAGGTAAGGGTGAGGTAAGGTAAGGTAAGGGTAGGGTAGAGTAGGTAAGGGTAGGGTAGGTAAGGTAAGGGTAGGGTAGGTAAGGGGTAGGTAAGGTAAGGGTAGGTAAGGTAAGGGTAGGGTAGGGTAGGTAAGGGTAGGGTAGGTAAGGTAAGGGTAGGGTAAGGTAAGGGTAGGGTAGGTAAGGTAAGGGTAGGGTAGGGTAGGGTAGGTAAGGGTAGGGTAGGGTAGGGTAGGTAAGGGTAGGGTAAGGTAAGGGTAGAGTAGGTAAGGGTAGAGTAGGTAAGGGTAGGGTAGGGTAGGTTAGGACAGGTCAAGTTTGGTAAATTATCTTATCCATTTTCAAAAATTAAAATAACTATCAGTGAATTACCCAACCACAGTTTGTGATATAGCTAAAACTTCAACCATCTCCAAATTTCATGAAACATTACCCTGTGTAGCTGCCAAAACCCATTCTTAAGTATTATCATTAATACACTTAACATCTCATAGATTATCTCAAGTCTGTCCACCCCACCTTATTACACCTAGAGATTAACCACCCAAAAATATTGTGGGGGGTTGAGGTGAGGTTAGGTAATAATAATCACACATAAATAAACAGAATATCAACCAGGGCTCTAAACTCACCAGCCTTATCTCACCCACGTTCTTGTACGTAAGATACGAGAATATTTTTTCAAAAATTTCTGTTGGGAGGTCGAGGATGTGTATTTTGATGACCACATTATTTTGTGAACCAGCAGGCGAGACAGGTATAGAGGGTGACGATAGCGGCGACGACACAGTTACAGTGATCGATGGCGAGGCTGATGTTGACGACGTTGTTGGTGAGGATGATGTACTTGACGCTGAGGATGATGTGGTAGGTAAGGCAGACTGTGACGTTGATGGTGACGAGGGAGACGATGATTTTATCCCAATGTTCACCTTGAAATTTGTGGGAAAAATTAAGCTGAGGAATATTACAGCAATAACTAATATACCTGTAGTCAATTTAATCTTAGACAACATTCACCTGAAAAATAATGAAGTAATCACAGTATAACTAATAATAAAGCAGGTTCAATTTCATGGTCTTATCCCAATTTGTGCACATGTGAGGGGAGGAAAGGAAAATCCTTAGCTGAATATTAAGGATTAGTAATACCAAAGGTCATATTAAGTCTGAATGCAGTACCCTAGACTTGCTAGGTCATCAGTAAATGGACAGACCAATGGTAAACCACCTGTCATAATGTCTTGAATAATATGTGTTAATTTTCTACATTATGAACCAAAATATTGTACACTTTAAAACATCATTCCTACAGCAATGCATTTTAGGAGTCAAAATTCTTCATTATAAATTAAAATATTGCAATGTTACGTATGTATATATGTATGAGTAATAATTTATGTACAGTATGCCCTTGGCTGAAATTACATTTTTAGATGTTAGTCTCCATTATCAGGATGGGATGAGTTGGGTTGGGCTTGGGATATTGAAACGAGAGACTTATCAAGTACCGGGTACTCACAGGAAAACGCTTGTTGTTCGGTACATGATGTATGGGGTTGGGCACTGCTGCAGGATCGCTGTAACTGTGATCGCTCAGTGGACACACCTCACCAAAGTGTGACAGCCGAGTCAACACCATCCTTGCCTTGGCCTGCAACTGTCAAAATCTTTTATTAATTTTTTTTCTTCATTTTTATCACTAGCTTTCCAAGTGGTAGACTTTTCTTAGTTGTTATGATCTTATTATTGCAGTTCAACAACAAAGGTCTCTAAGCGAGTAACAAGGTTAGTAATACACTTGTCCAACATTAAAAATTATGAGAGTTGGAACTCTTGTATACGCTTAGTTACTTTGTTTTGACCTTTATTGTCTAGTGTTAGTACAGGAGGAAACAGTAGCACATGGAGAAAACTTGCCATGTTTGGTAGTGTCTCACTGGATAACACTCTTTCACATGTCCCAGATTATCTCAGCCTACCTCCACACAAGAATTCTCCAACACTCTCAATATCCAGCCACCCTCTTAGTTCTGAACAGGATCTCCTATCTTTCAGTGGCACATTACACATCCACCTCACCATTCTCAATCCAGCTTGCTAAAGCCTGTGTATATCATCTTCTATAACTGTCACTTGCATACATCTTTCCTTTCATATTAATAAAAGTAGAAGCCTTAAAGGTCATCAGGACTAATTCCCATGAACAGCTGACATAATGGATCCAGTGACAGGCCAGCGAGACACTCCAGCCCAAACAACTCATTTTTTTTTTTTTTAGAAAAGAAGTTATATATTTCAATGAATTCAGTACCTTGTACATATATTGTGTGCACATGTCATACATTTAAATTGTCCCAGAATATAAACATACAGTAAAGAACTTTAAAGATTATCTTGGTACAGTACCAGCAATAAACTGAACTGCCTTAACCCTTAAATGGGGGCCATCATCAGTGCTAAGGCATTTATTGTAAGGCGTTTTAGATGCACGTAATAGCTGACTTGTTAGCTATTCCCGGACTGCCATTAAAAAATACGACATTGTACCACGTCTTGGAAATAGCTGTTGTACAACATAGTCTTCAGAAAACAATAAAATTAGGAGAACTGTTATTTGGACACAAATCGGAAAGAAGTGAAGAAAATATATAGAAAATTATGGAAAGAAAGAAAAAAAAAGGAAAACAAGTCAGTCAACAATAAATAAGAATAACAAAAAATCGGGCCATTGTAAAGGTAATTTCTCCCAGACTCTGAAACCACGCGTAAATCCAAAGCAGCTGTTCCACGGACCACTACGCTTCTTCTCTCACAGCTAGGTGTTCGCATATTTATACACTAAATACGACAAGTTTCAGGTTCAATTAAGTAATGATATTAAGGTTTCAATCGTATTTGAGTAATAATCAATATTGTTACACCAAAGTTACCAACGGCTAATGAAATCGGACATTGCCCACTTAAAAGTCGGCAGAGCCACAACAGGTTTCAACTAGGCACAATCCTTTTCAATTCTTTCACGCCATACGCTTTGTTTTAGGTTCTATCCAATGCACTACTGTACATGTATATAGAATTATTTTTATTATTATGTCACAGTTTTTTATTGCCTTACATGCCCCCAACTCTTCAATATTAATCCAAATATTCTCCATAACCGGCCAGTATTTACACACTGTTTCGATGGAAGAAACTCAATGATTGGTTGTTAGCTATTCGGGAGCTGCACATGCTAACGCCTGATCAAGGGATTTGCTTTGCCCTATCAAGGTGTCATGCACACAACTAAGCTGAAGCGTCTGCGCACAGAATAGCTAACGCATTAGCTATTCCGTGCTTCTAAAACGCCTTTAGTTAGGTGTAGGGATGGCAGCCATTATCTATGGGAAATATGTTCCTTCCATTCCATTTTTGCAGGGATTCCTTAGCCACAGCTTAAAGGATAAGGTGACCGGCCTTCAATAGCGTCAACTCATAAGACCGTCAAAGACAAAAGGTTAAACAACACCTGTACAGTCATCATTTATGAGCTCCTCCTATATCTATATAAACTTTAATTTCATTTAAATTTGACCTTCGCTCCTACCTTGTATTATTTAACGAGGTCACCGCTTGACTATGACCATTCTAATATAGTGCATAGAGATACACATTAATACTCTACTGGCTGTGTAGAAATTTAACCTGACTATTAATGGAAGGTTTTTCATAACGAGACACTCACAAGATGATGCTCAAGAAGAAAAGGTTAAGATTATGACTCAGCAGTGCAGCACCTATCAAATATACACAAAGATGAAAATAAGTAAGGCCCATAAGAGGAGGAGCACGTGCGGATCATCTTATATTGCCTCAAGCTATGATAATAGGGATCACCTGATAATTCGCCCCCAGTTTATATCACCTTTAGACACTACCTGAGGGAGTAGGTCTGATTAGATCATGTTAGTGTTAGCTTTGTCAGCATTGGGGAGTTTGTCTTGTAATGAAGAAAATATTTAACATATACTGTACTTTATAGTTAAATTACCAATATGGTCGACCTATAGGCAAGAGGGAAATTTCTAGAATGATTCCAGGGGTTTAACAATACTATTTTTGTCAAGATTTTCACCAAAACATTTCAAAACACGGAATCCAAATCCGGTGGATGAACTGGTTAGATTTTTTTAGGGGGCATTGCTTTCATAGCTGGGTACCCCTGTTATCTAATGTAAAAACTTGCAACTAAACTTACCTTTTATAGTATACAGTATAGTAAAATCCTGTCTTGGAAGAAATGTAAGGAGGGGTTTGTTAAGACCATATTTCCTTAAATCCAAACCATTAATAAGGGGGTACCCAGCTATGTAAACCCAATTCTTTCTTTCTTCCTTTCTTTTACACAGTCCCTAAACAATCTTTCATATTTGGGATGTAAATAAAAGAATAACAGACATACAAGTGAGTAGTTGGTGTCATCCTGTAGCCCAACTCAAACATTTTTTCTTGATGCCAGGCAACTTCCACCATTACTGGCTCTCATGTTTGACTCGTATTCAATTTCAGTCCACTTTTACCACATGTTCAGGCAGTATGTCAAAGAAATTGTGTATCGCACATCAGTGACAAATATTGCTAAACTACAGACCAGGAAAACAGATTCCATTGCTAATGTGACTATGGGCATGTTGCTGAGAATGTGGTGAAAATTCAAATATCAATTAAGACATTCCTAACCTAACCCTCAGGTAGCATTAGGGTGTTTAATCAAGTGAAATAACCTGTAAGAGGGCCAAAGCTTCAGGTGATCCCAACACCCTTCTCACACTCCACTTAAGTACAGGGAAAAAAATTGCACCCCGGGTCTGACACCCTTTGCAACGATCACTGGCCGAGGACAGGAATACTGTACAGTAATGTACATATAAACCCGTAATGCACGAGTGTGCAGAATTCTTGGTCCGGTTGTCATATTGTATAACACTGTAAAGGTACAGACTTTTTTTTAAACTGTACACAGATAATACAGGTTGCAGAACACACAATATATGCACACACACATTATAAACTCACACAAGCCACCACAAGTGATTTATGCTGAATAAACCAATAAGGACACAAGACATGATCTCTAGGAAAGCATCCTACACACACTATGAGAGACAGAATGGGAATAACATCAGCCGCTTACTCAAAAGTGCACAAGTTCTGCCGATATAGAACATTCATTTTCTATGATGGAGTTAGGTAAGACAAGATTACGAACCACATTAGCAGGACAAAGTACGGACCATCTGATGTGAGTGGCCAAAGAAGGTCCTGAGGAGCTGAATGACGAGCAGCTTGAGGCCATACCGTAATTGAAGTGTGGAAATAAACAACAGTGAAGTACATTGCAACTTAATATGGTACATACAGTACAGTAACTGAGTATTACAGTGAAATGGTGAGCACTGAGTCACATATTATCCTTGCGAATGATGGGATAAATCTGATACAGTAAAATGTAAGTGTAACAGTGTACTGCACAGGACTCATTTCTTTATTGATCACTAACAGTTGTAACACCAATTACAGGCATTCATCCTTAAACGCACTTTTTTCTCCCTTTTTAAAGCAAATTCTTTATTAGAGATATGAGAGGCACTGTATGTTGACCACAGTACAGTATGTTTCTGAGAAGCAACTACAGTACATATTATGTTTAACATACTGTATAATAAACCTCAAAATAGTCTTTGTGAATTAATCAGTTCATTTCTGCATACAAGGTGTATGATGATTTGTTTTCATCCACCAAAGGCACCGAGGTCATGTCCCTTAGTGCCAATTCATAAATACAGTACAGTACAGTACTGCAAATTTTCCTCTCCTTTCTCAGTCATATAAGGATTGTTGCATTAAAACATAGATGCCATAAAATTGTATTCTAAGGGTGACATCATATTGGTTCATCTACACGATTCTTTCACTAGTGTGTACTGTATCTTTATTTGGCAACTCATGAAGATTAGGAGCCCCACTTATTTCACTTGATTAAAACACCCTAATACTATAAGGAGGGTATGATTAGGATCCCAATACAGTATACAGTATTTAATTATACTATACTGTACAGTATAAGTTTACTTTAAGGTAGGTTAAATTAAATCGTGTTAGGTAACATTGAGTTTGGTTAGCATTAGCTTGCTTAATCATCTGACGAAATACTGTACAAGTGGGTTCCTAATCTTCACGACGTCCCACCATGTACGAGTGTTCTCCCCTTGATATTATTCCTTATACACAGCTTAAGTGCCAATGGTGCTACAATAATAATAATATATACAGTGGTCCCTCGGTTAACGAGCACAACTCGTTCTAGAAGGTTGCTCGTTAACCGAAAAATTCGTGAACCAAAACCATTGTTTCAATGGGTTTTTGGGTAATTGGTTCCAGCTCACCGAAAATTGCCTAAAGTCAACAAAAAATGTAGTAAAGTACACTTACTTTGAGGTGTGTATGTAGAAGGCTCCTGGATGATGATGATGATGGGAATTAGAATGGGGGTGGAGGAGAAGGGAGAAGAGAAGTCACCCCATGGTGCCATTTCACCCATAAAATTTTAGTTCACTTGGTGTAATTCAAGATTATTTTCTTTAAATTAACACTGCACTGCATTATATATTATCAATATGTAAAATAAATTTCAAAATAACCAATAATTTGACTGGAAACACAGAAAAAAAGCGTTTATGCTGAAGAGAGTCTGAAGCAAGATGTTACCTCCACTGAAAAGACACAGACTGACGCCTGTATGGTGTGTTGACAGGCTGTTTGGCACGCTAAAAGCTAGTTTCCCTGTACTTAAATTATGTTCAATAATTGTTAAAATGACTAAAAATTTTAATATAAGACTTAAAATTATTGAATAGTACAAACTTCTTGCTATTTACTAAAATAATAAGGAATTTAAGCCCTAGAACCGATTACTATATTGGCGGACTAATATGACAGCTAGTGAGCAAGCGAAAACATGTTGAAGGTGCGCTCGTAAGGAATTCGTTAATCGAGGGAATGCTCATTAACCGAAGTTAAGAATCTTATGGAAGGTAATTCGTTAACCGAAATTTCATTAACCGAGGCGCTCGTTAACCGAGGGATCACTGTATAAAAAAATAATGGAACTACAACACCAGCATGAATGAACCACCCAGCACAATATATCACTGGCTCATTCCTGTTAAAGCCAGTATGGTTGACCCACCAGTATGGTTGACCTACCAGTATGGTTGACCCACCAGTATGGTTGACCCACCAGTATGGTTGACCTACCAGTATGGTTGACCCACCAATATGGTTGACCCACCAGTATGGTTGACCCACCAGTATGGTTGACCTACCAGTATGGTTGACCTACCAGTATGGTTGACCTACCAGTATGGTTGACCCACCAGTATGGTTGACCTACCAGTATGGTTGACCCACCGGTAAGGTTAATCTACAAGTCTGGTTAATCTACCAGTATGGTTGACCCACCGGTAAGGTTAATCTACAAGTCTGGTTAATCTACCAGTATGGTTGACCCACCAGTATGGTTGACCTACCAGTATGGTTGACCCACCAGTAAGGTTAATCTACAAGTCTGGTTAATCTACCAGTATGGTTGACCTACCAGTATGGTTGACCCACCGGTAAGGTTAATCTACAAGTCTGGTTAATCTACCAGTATGGTTAATCTACCAGTATGGTTGCCCTACCAGTAAGGTTAATCTACAAGTATGGTTGACCTACCAGTATGGTTGACCTACCAGTATGGTTGACCTACCAGTATGGTTGACCTACCAGTATGGTTGACCTACCAGTATGGTTGACCTACCAGTAAGGTTACTCTGACCCAGTATGGTTGACCTACCAGTATGGTGACCCACCAGTGTTAATCTACACTACCAGTATGGTTGACCTACCACCTACCAGTATGGTTGACCCACCAGTAAGGTTAATCTACCAGTATGGTTGACCTACCAGTATGGTTGACCTATCAGCATGGTTGACCTACCAGTATGGTTGACCCACCAGTATGGTTGACCTACCAGTATGGTTGACCCACCAGTAAGGTTAATCTACAAGTCTGGTTAATCTACCAGTATGGTTGACCTACCAGTAAGGTTAATATACAAGTCTGGTTAATCTACCAGTATGGTTGACCCACCAGTAAGGTTAATCTACAAGTCTGGTTAATCTACCAGTATGGTTGACCTACCAGTATGGTTGCCCTACCAGTAAGGTTAATCTACAAGTATGGTTGACCCACCAGTATGGTTGACCCACCAGTATGGTTGACCCACCAGTAAGGTTAATCTACAAGTCTGGTTAATCTACCAGTATGGTTAACCTACCAACATGGTTGCCCTACCAGTAAGGTTAATCTACAAGTATGGTTGACCCACCAGTATGGTTGACCTACCAGTATGGTTGACCTACCAGTATGGTTGATCCACCAGTATGGTTGACCCAACAGTATGGTTGATCTACCAGCATGGTTGGTCTACCAGTATGGTCGACCGACCAGATGGTCAACCCAACAGTATGGTTGACCTACCAGTATGGTTGCCCTACCAGTAAGGTTAATCTACAAGTATGGTCGACCTACCAGTATGGTTGATCCACCAATATGGTTGATCCACCAGTACGGGTGATCCACCAGTATGGGTGACCCACCAGTATGGTCGACTTACCATTAAGGTGGAGTCAATTGTATGGTATATTTGGTATTATGGTTGATCTACCAGTATGGTTGAGCCAGCAGTATGGTTGATCTATCAGTATGATTGACCCACCCGAATGGTTGACATACCATTATGGTAGCATCACCAATATGGTAGTCACTAGTATGAGTGACATACCAGTATGGTTGACTTACCAGTAAGACTGACCCACCATTATGGTTGACCTTCCATTATGGTTGACCTACCATTAAGGTGGTTGCCTTACCATTAAGATAGTCAACTGTGCAGTTGATTTGCCATTATGGTTGATCGACCAGTATTGACCTACCAGTATGGTTGAATCACTGGTATGGTTGATTCACCAGCATGCTTGATCAACCATTATAATCGAGTCACCAGTATGAGTGACCTACCAGTATGGTTGAGTCACTGGTATGGTTGATCTATCAGCATGGTTGACCTACCACTATGGTTGAATCACCGTGATAGCAGAGGTCATGCAAGAGTCACCATCTGGTAGCCGACTCAACTGGCACAAGTGGGAACACATTAAAACGTGTTTGGGGGAGAAATACGGTGGGCTGGTCATTAACAAAGAGAACCATGAGTGAGGTTGAAGGTATAGGTATGTGGTTAACGTGTAGTTGTTGACCTGGTGGACCCGAGAGATAATAAATGGGAAATAGATGTACACCATAACCATCAACACCTGAGCCACCACCATTGCAACTCTGCCTTAACCTAATTCACTCTCACATACTCTGGCTGGCCTCGAGTGCATGCAATCTGTTAGTGGAAGGAAGATGAAAGCTTCACCGTGATGTCTCGAGAGAAAAAATGAAGTAACTTGAGTAAAATAACTCATCTTGGTCTCAGGTCGCGAAAATAATTTACCGCGGAAGGCAGCGAGTGGCGGCTTGGGGGCCCCGCTGGTTGACCTTGGCTCTTAAGTTGATCCTTCATATCTACCTCCACCAGGGCTTTATCACCAAAAAAACACAACCATTTCATTAACCAACCATTCACTCGCCTAGTTACCGAGAGGTGGTGAGCCCCAGGGACCCACAACCTTACCTTTTACCGACGAAAGTGGGAAGCTTCCGCTCAATGTCCGACGCACAGCCACTGGCGGCCCCTGCGACACATCCACAATAAAACACTACAAATTTCAACCTCAACTCCTAACTAGAGCCTTTATGCTCAGCCAAGATATGTGGTAGAGTCTATTGCACGTTCATGGCGGCTCCTGACCGCCTAGGACCCCTCAATGTGGAGTACGAGTGGAAAATGTTGAATGAGGCGGAGCTGTGAGGATGAAGGAACAAAGCGGAGGTCCTCCGTTAGTGTTCAGCTCTGGGCTAACTCCCCAGCCCTCTCGCAAGGTATAGATGACACAACACCTCTGCACAACACGATCAAATACTCTATATTAACCCAGAAATCTTACATACTACCATCGTTAATTTTTCCCAATTCCTTATTTGAACTCCTTTTATTTCTATTCCAACACTCTATCATAATCAATCTTCATACTTATTCCTGCAGTTGAGGGCTAGGCAGTATTCTCGAGTCCACATAAACGTTAATTAATTTATTTCAACCGTAAGGCAATACATTATTGTTTAGGGTGGATTAATTTGTCTTTAAATTGAATAACAACTTCTTATATTATGTTTTATTGTTTTATCCTTATTAATTACCTTGAAACAGATGGATTAAAACAAGTAAGAGCCAAGGAGGTAGTTAATCCAGATTTGTTCTGATAAAAAAGCTCCACCTCGAAAAAATTTATTTCAGGGACATAATTAACACACAAATTTACGTTATATAAAACAATAGTGTAACGAATACTCATAAAAACAGAAAGAAACTAAACTAATTTACCTTTTATAATATATGATTTAAATAAACAAATTAAAGATAACAGAAGTAAGTTTCGTATCAATTCGGTAATTCCCAGAAGTTGACGAAGATGAAATATGAGACAAATTTGCTCTCTCACTCTTTCCTACTGTGTGTTATACATCTGTTGAGAACTATTCTCTCTCTCCCTCTCTCTTACACACTTAATGAATAAATATAACATCATCATTGGTACAGCTCCAGAATATTTCAGATTCACGAAGAAATGGTTCCGAATCATCACTTTTTACGGATATTTTTTGCTTTTACCCTCTTCGCCACTGATCGGCTCGTTACCCGCTTGGAACTAATAGAACAAAAACAACTTGAGACTTATAATGTGTTGTTCTAAAAGTAAAAATAGTGTTGGTAAGAGTATTGCTGGTGTACTATAACCTGCTATTTGTGTATGTGATGATCTGCCACTTTAATTCAAACAATGTCAAACTAAATGTGTTTTTGAAAAGCAAGTTAGATCATTTATATGGAGAATTAAGTTACGTGTAGGTGTTTTCTTTCACCTTAATTATATGCAAGTGTTACTAATACTTTATATATTATCCTAAGTAAAAGTTTATATGTTTACATGTACTGTAGGAATTTTTTATACAATAAAATCAAAGCAATCACATAAGACTGAGTTCGTTAGAGTAATGAAGGCGATGACACACATGTGTCCAGCTTGGAAACTTAGATTACAATAATTACTTTAATAATGCGTGTTACTTCACTTCTTCACCCTCCCTTATAGGTATCCAGAGGGGAGGGTGATTTAACCTAACTTTTTCTTCTTTTTTTTCACTTCTATCCTCTTCACCAATGTTTGGCTCGGTAGCCGCTTGGGGGATCAGTCACGTCTCCGTTGCGCACTGTGGGCAAGCACTGGGCATGCACCGGCTCCTGAATGTACCTGAACCTGCTCCAGTGTTGGTCAAGTCTGGTCTTGAAAGAGCTTGCACTCGGTGCCGTCACAACACTCTCTGGCAGATTGTTCCAGGAATTCACAACTCTCACACCGAAAAAGTTTGCCCTCACAGTTTTCTGGACCTGAGGCTTCTTCAATCTTGAGCTGTGACCCCTTGTGGGGCGAGCGTCCGCCAGGTCCAAGTAAGGACACTCGACTGAGTAGTTCCCCTTGAGATGCTTATACACCTCAGTTAGGTCGCCCCTTGTCCATCTGTAGTATATGCTAGACAAGTTCAGTTTCACCTATTTTTAGTCAATGCCAATTTAACTAATATTTTTTTGCCTATTTTGATCTTTTCATATTCTAGAATCTGTCAATATTGTAAGAAAGTAATAAATGCAAAATTTTGGACAGGGGTAGAGGTGTGTAAGCTTCCAGCCGCGATGACAAGAACACCAGTAAGCTAATTGCTCCATCCCCAGCTCTTCTTTTTGCTTTTATCATCCTCGCCACTGATGGGCTCGTTAGCTGCTTGGGCAGCCGGTCACGTCTCTGTTAGTACTGGGCATACACCGGCTCCTGAATGTACCTGAACCTGCTCCAGTGTTGGTCAAGTCTGGCCTTGAAAGAGCTCACACTTGATATCAGTGTCGTCACAACACACTCTGGAAGATTGTTCCAAGAATTCACAATTCTTACTCGAAAAAAGTTTGCCCTCACACTTTTCTACTTATTCATTGATTTACCATTTCTAGGCGATAATGTCCCTCAGAAATGTAACTCGATTTGCTTTTAAAAATTTAGAAACACCTTCGGACAACAAAAGTGCCATTTGTATAAAGTATAATTAGAAGATTAGTGATAAAACTTCAAACAACTTCTACCTTGGTTCAGTATCTTAAAACACATCCTCAGAGTTAAGTTATATTATTATTTTTGTACCTTCTTTTAATCTTACTCTTTCTTTCAGTAGGTGAAGGAGGGTAGTGAAGGAGGAGGTGGCAGGCCTGTGGTTGAGGGAGCAACTAAATTATTAGGTCTTATAAGAAGGTCGTTCAGATATCTAGACGGTCCGTCCCACGTAACGATCTTCAAGAGTGAGGTGCTCCCCGCCTGGTCCCCGAGATATGCTAGGGAGTAGGGACTCAATTGATTGAAAATGTCCAAAGGAGGGCCACCAGACTGGTGCTTGCACTTCGGCACCTCAGCTACCCAGACGGGCAAGGGGAGACCTAATTGAGGTGTAAAAACATGTCAGAGGTGCGGCAATATTCTGTCTGCTCAGTCGAGTGTCCATACCTAGAGCTGACGGACGCTCGCCCCACAAGGGGTCACAGCTCAAGGTTGAAGAAGCTGTAAGTCCAGAAAACTGTGAGGACAGTGAGGGCTAACCTTTTCGGAGTGAGAATTCTTGGAACAACCTGCCAGAGAGTGTTGTGACAGCACTGAATGTAAGCTGTTTCATAACCAGACTTGACTAACACTGGAGCGGGTTCAGATATATTCATGAGCAGTGCATGCCCAGTACTTGCCAACAGTGCAGAACAGAGACGTGACCGACCGCCCAAACGGACAAGAGGATAAACACAAAACAGTCATGCTTGGCACGGACACACATGGGGTTGGGAATTAAGAGCGTTGTGATCCAGTGTGACACTACTGAACATCACAGCCATTCATTGGTTTCCTCCGGGTACTACACAATTTCCCCTTTATTATTTTTTACTGTTGTCATCTTCCCCTGTACTCAATCGATCAAAGAACTGTACTGTCCTCATATTTGAGGGTTGGCGTCCACAGTCCTCAACTCTAAACGTTCTCGGGCTGCTTTTACCAAACGTCCTATACAAGGTACTAACACTACACAAATGAAGTCCATTATAACAATACAAAGTAAAAAAAAACGGAACAACCGCTCGAGCAGTAAGCTAGTAAGCTGATAAATGTTGAAAAAGGAAATGTTATCCGTAATTTTTTTTTAAACAACACCATTTTTCACCACATAGGCCTACAGTACATACCGTGTCATCGAGTACAAAGTCTTAAGTCACAAGTATAAAAAATAGAAAATTAGATATATTACCAGAGTCGACTGAGATAAGCGAATTAAAATGAATTAAACAAAATACCTAACTTTATAGCTACTTGCCCCTTGTTAGCCGCTTTGTCACAAATACCAATATATCTTCCAGTTTTCTTTTCTCGTAAAATATGATACAATAACACGACGAAATATTTAATATTGTAAATGTGAGTAACGAAGTATCTGTTGACAATATGAAATAAAGTGAAGATAAAAAAAATAAATTGAAAATGTACGAGACCCTTTGACGTCATTACACTGTTGCCAAAAATACAAATAAAGGACTCGCCCATTTTGTTTAATTAATTGGCATGTTTAATATAAACCGCAGAAGAAAACAAAGCCTAAACTTATTTTATGAATATTCTAATCAAAATTATAAAGCACAATAAAAATAATAGGAAAATTAAAGATATACATACTGTATTGAGTTGCGTCATGGTAAGGGTGTAAGCTAGATTTGGCAATAACAATCAAGGTTCAAAATAAGTAGTGTTAGAAATATACTACGAACGTCTTAGGGCGCTAATCTTTTTCACTAACCATCAAATCTAACCAAGCTAAAAATGCCAAAAGAATTTTTAGATTAACATTAAAGAGTTAAGTATTGATTCGAATTTTATATAAAGTGATCAACAATGGTTTGTGGCCGACGTTATTTATTGTAATACAAATGGGAACAAACCATACATATTATAATTGAAGCAACCAAACATATCCTATTATTATATTGAAATGAAGATTGAAAAAAATAGATGATAGAGTCAGAAAAAATTATTAAAAATATTTTAAGTTAGTAATACAGTTCGTGGAATATTATATAACACTATTACCCTATACCCCTCCCAGGCCCCCCCATAAACAGTCAGTGTGGGTTAAGACTTGAGAGTAGTTGGAGGTGACTTTGGGCTCATATCTGTGCCCCAATAACTATGTCACACACCCCTTCTTGAGGTCACTTGTCACCATGTTTGAAGGCATCGTATCTGAGGTGCTGAACAGGGCATTAGGGCAATATATCGAGAATTTGGATGCGTCTAAACTGAAGTTCAGTATTTGGAGAGGTGAGTTGGCAATCAGCTGTGTACACACCCTAACTATTTCTCCGTTTTATGTGACTTCGCTTTAATAATTTTACACCTTTTTAACGTGTGAGTGAAATAAACATACATATTTAGCTATGAATGGATATGTAGCCACGAATCAGTAGATATTAGGGATGATATGTGATTATTCTTATGTGGGATGAACGTCTGTCGCCATTACAGGCGTGTCTAGTTAAACAGATGTTGGAATATATATACTGAACAGGTGTCACGCCTTTAAATATAATCATGAAACCATTAAACACCATTAAATTGAGGCCTCTGGGACTGTGGTCTTCCCGTCCTTCCAGCCAGAGAGAAAATCGAACTTCTCACTCATCAATAACTATCGTCCTTTTCTTCGCTCTCTCCAGAACTTATTCATTATTCTCGATGATAACGTAAGTGTTTTATTGACTATCGAGAGGCGATAAGGGGAGGAAAATCAATATAAAAGGTTAAATTTGATAACGGTATGAGGGAGGGAGGGAGGCGTCTGTGTTGGGTCTCATACCCACGTGACTCACAACACTTCATCCCTCACCCCTTTTAACAATATATAAATATATTCTTCAAAAGTACTTGTACATTTCTGTCTCCATGTTTGTGTACAGTAGTGTTTTATGTGTGTGTGTATTTTTGTACATGGCATGTATAGTTTTCCATGTGTATATACAGTATTTGTTGTATACTGTACAGTACAGTATTGTAATGTTATCATACGTCTGGTTTTCCCGGACATGTCCTTTTTTGGTTATTAAATCTCCTTCCGGATGTTTTTTAAATATCTAAAACTATCTTTATATAGATCCCTGTGGCAGTGATGTATATAATCCTCTTGTATACTCACTGTTACTTGTTGTATACTGTATGCTCAAGCTGTATGACTATTTTTACAATGCGAGTTGATAGATATTAATATAGATTCACTCCCACTCTGGAGTGCTGGAGTGTCCTTTTTGGGGTGAAACGTTAAATATAGTAACCTTATTTTATTGTATGTGTGATGTGTGTACTGTAATATATATATATATATATATATATATATATATATATATATATATATATATATATATATATATATATATATATATACTGTAAAATACAGTATATAAATAAATAGTATATATTAGAGATGAATTTCAAATTATCACTTTCACGGCTGGGTTTCAGACATTCGTTCCATTACTAATATATACGGGTATAGTCTCGGTAAGACACACAGATTAAGACTGAAACAAAAAAGCCGTCATCCTGCCTCGGATATCACCACGACACCACAATTTCAGTTAAGTTCCTTATACCTCGACACACCCAGACCAAAGTGAGTTAAGTTTTCAGATAAGGTCTAGTGGCAGTTCAGAGGGCCAACCAGCCCAGTACCCAATCACAAACGTTTTCTCAAAGTCCAAGGTAACATTACTATCTTTAGAATGGCCATCAAATACCCTGGGGGTAGAGTCACTATAGGCACTGGGCACAGCAGGGTGTCTGACTACAAAATGACTAATTTTGTGGCAATTATGTTTAATACCAAAGCACCTGCTTGGGGGAACATGTGTGTCATGTGTGTGTGAGACCCTTGTATTACAGGGTGAGGATGGTGTAGCAGCTTTGTCAGATGACATTACAGTGATGATTACAGAGTTGAAAGGGCCAGTGTATTAAGTGCCTTGATATGTACTTTAAGAGAGGAAGAGAAGAGTTTTTCTCATCCTGTTTTCCACTTTCCTGGAGCATTTGTTGTGAGGCAGTTAAGAAGTCCAGGCAGGAGAAGCATAGGTTAGGTTAAGTTAGGAAATATGAACATTGTGTAACCATTCAGCTCAGACACAGGAATACTTTATCAAGGGATTTAAGACGACAGAGGATGTGGGGAAGACGCCTGGAAGATATGCTGGTGTGCGTGTGATAATCTAAAGTAGTAATAATGACAATACAGTACTAATTATGACTATAAAAGAGCTCTGCCATATAGTGCTGTTGGGGAGCGAGTCACTTGGTTAACAAAAGCTGTCAGTACAAAAAGAAGACACGTAGAGTGAAGTTAGTGAACAACAAGTTAACTGGATGGATCTGGTAGCTTTCTCAGTGGTTATAAGGGAGCAGGTCTTGTGTGTATGTATGTTTAATTGAATGTGTTTTTGTTCATGTGTGTTTATGTATGTATTTGTGTGTGTGTGTGTGTGTGTGTGTCTGTTTTTAGTAATAATTTATCTTCCTTAATTTATTTATCACCGCTTCTATTGTAAATGCAGTTGATTGTATTATGTCAAGATTGGGAGAGATAAGGAAGGGTTGGAGGGAGGGATGTGTTAGTAACACTGGAGGGAGGGATGTGTTAGTAACAATGGAGGGAGGGATGTGTTAGTAACACTGGAGGGAGGGATGTGTTAGTAACAATGGAGGGAGGGATGTGTTAGTAACACTGGAGGGAGGGATGTGTTAGTAACACTGGAGGGAGGGATGTGTTAGTAACACTGGAGGGAGGGATAAGTTAGTAACACTGGAGGGAGGGATGTGTTAGTAACACTGGAGGGAGGGATGTGTTAGTAACACTGAGGAGGGGTATGTTAGTAACACTAGAGGGAGGATGTGTTAGTAACACTGGGAGATGTCACTGAGAGGATGTTTACACTGAGGGGATGTGTTGAACACTGGAGGGTTAGTACCTGGAGGGATGTGTTAGTAACACTGGGGAGGGATGTGTTAGTAACATGGAGGGGATGTGGTAACACTGAGGGAGATGTAGTAACACTGGAGGGAGGGATGTGTTAGTAACACTGAGGGATGTGTTAGTAACACTGAGGAGATGTGTTAACACTGGAGGAGGATGTGTTAGAAACACTGGAGGGAGGATGTGTTAGTAACACTGGAGGAGGATGTGTTAGTAACACTGGAGGAGGATGTGTTAGTAACACTGGAGGGAGGGATGTGTTAGTAACACTGGAGGTGGGATGTGTTAGTAACACTGGAGGGAGGATGTTAGTAACACTGGAGGGTAAACCTGGAATGGAACACTGGATGGTACAAGAACACTGGGAGGAGAACACTGGATTTGAACACGGAGGGGATGAGTTAGTAACACTGGAGGGAGGGATGTGTTAGTAACACTGGAGGGAGGGATGTGTTAGTAACACTGGAGGGAGGGATGTGTTAGTAACACTGGAGGGAGGATGTGTTGTAACACTGGAGGGAGATGAGTTAGTAACACTTGGGGAGGATGTGTTAGTAACACTGGAGAGGAGGGATGTGTTAGTAACACTGGAGGGAGGGATGAGTTAGTAACACTGGAGGGAGGGATGTGTTAGTAACACTGGAGGGGGATGTGTTAGTAACACTGAGGAGGATAAGTTAGTAACACTGGAGGAATGTGTTATAACACTGGAGGGAAAGTTAGTAACACTGGAGGGAGGGATGTGTTAGTAACACTGGAGGGAGGGATAAGTTAGTAACACTGGAGGGGAGGATGTGTTAGTAACACTGGAGGGAGGATGTGTTAGTAACACTGGAGGGAGGGATGTGTTAGTAACACTGGAGGGAGGGATAAGTTAGTAACACTGGAGGGAGGGATAAGTTAGTAACACTGGAGGAGGGATGTGTTAGTAACACTGGAGGAGGATGTGTTAGTAACACTGGAGGAGGGATGTGTTAGTAACACTGGAGGGAGGTGTGTTAGTAACACTGGAGGGTGGGATGTGTTGTACACTAGAGGAGGATGTGTTAGTAACACTGGAGGAGGATGTGTTAGTAACACTGGAGAGGATGTGTTAGTAACACTGGAGGGAGGGATGTGTTAGTAACACTGAGGGAGGATGTGTTAAGCCTGGAGGATGTGTTAGTAACACTGGAGGGATGTGTTAGTAACACTGGAGGGAGGATGTTAAATGTTAGTAACACTGGAGGGGGGATGTGTTAGTAACACTGGAGGGAGGGATGTGTTAGTAACACTAGAGGAGGGATGTGTTAGTAACACTGGAGAGAGGATGTTAGTAACACTGGAGGGAGGTTAGTAACACTGGAGGAGGATGTGTTAGTAGCACTGGAGGAGGGATGTGTTAGTAACACTGGAGGGAAGGATGGTTAGTAACACTGGAGGGAGGGATGAGTTAGTAACACTGAGGGAGGGATGTTAGTAACTGGAGGAGGATAGTTAGTAACACTGGAGGGAGGGATGTGTTAGTAACACTGGAGGGAGGGGAGGGATGTGTTGGAACACTGGAGGGAGGTGTGTTAGTAACACTGGAGGGAGGGATGTGTTAGTAACACTGGAGGGAGAGATGAGTTAGTAACACTGGAGGAGGATGTGTTAGTAACATGGAGGAGGATGTGTAACACTGGAGGGATGTTAGTAACACTGGAGGGAGGGATGTGTTAGTAACACTGGAGGGAGGATGTGTTAGTAACACTGGAGGGAGGGATGAGTTAGTAACACTGGAGGAGGATGTTGTAACACTGGAGGAGGAGTAGTAACACTGAGGAGGTTAGACACTGGAGGAGGATGGTTAGTAACACTGGAGGAGGGATGTGTTAGTAACACTGGAGGGAGGATGTGTTAGTAACACTGGAGGGGAGGATGAGTTAGTAACACTGGAGGAATCAATGGTTGTCCTGCATTGCACCAGCCAAATGTTCCTTGACTCACCTGACACACACATACCGACACACACACCACACACAAACACACACCACACACACAAACACACACACACCACACACACACACACACAAACACACACACCACACACACACACACAAACACACACCACACACACACACACACAAACACACACACACACCACACACAAACACACACCACACACAAACACACACACACCACACACACACAAACACACACACACACACACACACACAACACACACACCACACACCACACACAAACACACACACACACACACACACACACAAACACACACCACACACACCACACACACAAACACACACACAAACACACACCA